CGAAATTTTCCGTCATTTTTTGTTTGTTTGTTCCCAAAGCCAAACAAAACAAAATGGAAAGTAATTTGAGAAAAAAAACATAATCAAATTTGTTTTTATATGTTGTGACGAAGATCAATCCTGTTGCCTTCTTAAAAATAGTGCCTTTAAATAAAGATTCTGATTTGTTGTAAAACACTAGTATCAAAAGGGCAACTTTTTCTTTAATAAAACTAACAACTATATCTTCATAAAAACTAACATCAAATAAGGAAGTATTTGTTCTTTAGAACTAGCACCAATTAGGCAAACATTTTTTGTATCAGCTAACGAATAATCCTACAGTATAGGTAAACGTTTGTTCCATATACACCAACACGTGCTTATACAAGCTTTTGTTTAGGCAACGATTAAATCTACACCATAGGCTAACTTTTGTATTGCTCTACACACCAAACATCACGCAGCCAAATTAGTTTGTTTTCTATTGACTTTTTCTAATACTGTACTACGTACCTAGCCCGTTAAATATAGATTTGTCTAAAACTGTATTATGTACCTAGCCGGCAGTGGCGGAACTAGAAAAAAGGGGCCACCCCGCAAAAAAATTTTTTAGGCCCCCCCATATAAATATATAGGCCTATATATATATATGTATATATGTATATATATATATATATATATATATATATATATATATATATATATATATATATATATATATATATATATATATATATATATATATATATATATATATATATATATATATACTCAAACACAACATACGAACATTGGAAACCTATTCATGCTGGCCTGTTCGTGGTATGAGAAATACGTGGGTTTTTTTTTTTTTTTTAATTAAAACAAATTTCAACATCAGTGTAAGTACATTAGTCTGTTTTGTGAAAATCATTGTTATATTATCTTTGCCGTAAGACCGTTAACCTTATAATGGTCAAAAGAATATAAAACATGAAAGCTTTCTGTAAATAATGGTGTCTCGTATTATGTTTATTTTAATGTTTTTTTGTATATATTTTATTACTTTTAAATACATTTTATTTTTATACAGTGTCATTCTTTAGGAAGTAATTTATAAACAAATAATAATAAAGAGAAGTAATTGCTTTTTAATTTGTTTAGTACAAATCTTTTAAAAAGAGGCTATGAGCATCACTATTTGACTATTTAAAAAAGGGAAATAAGTCATGGAAGTAGTTTGAACGTTTGCTTATCTTTGATAAGTTTCATTGTAGGAGAAAGAGGACTCGGCTTTCACAGTGGTTTAAAAACGAAGGAAAAATGAATATACATGAGCCTGGAGTGGTGTCTATAGAATAAAGATAATCCAACGGCAGCTAGGGTAACCTTTTTTACAAAACAAACATTAAGTCAAAAATGCAAGAACATTTTTTTTTAACTATAACAATTTTTTTTTATGGTCGGCCGTGGGCCCCTAAATGGCGTAAGCCCCCCCCCCCCCGCATTGCGGGGTCTGGCGGCACTGTAGTTCCGCCCCTGCTAGCCGGTTAAAGATACTTTTGTCTAAAATTGTACTATGTAGGGCCTACCCAACCCATTAAAATTAAAGTCTGAGAATTTTGTTGAATTGTTTGGAGATGTTACACTAAAAATAGAAATGGAAACCATACAAGTTCACTCCATTTGTTGGCCAGCGTTAGTGGCCCTGAGATGTGTTCACTTTAAAGTAGGGTTCTTGTGTTTGTCACGTTGTTGTCACGTGGATGTCACGTTTAGTGTTTTAATGCTGAATGGACAAAGTGTGATGTCACGTCTGTAATCACGCTGCGTTAATGGTTAGCGTGACACAAAAGGTGGATGTTGGATGTTGTGCACGTAGCTGTCACGATGCTCAAACGTGAGCACACATGAGCAGCAGTTTGTGTTTATGTCCGAGCAATAATCATCTAGCAATCCAATTACTTGCAATTGAGATAGTTAAAATGTTAATTAAAACCAAACTATTATATATATATATATATATATATATATATATATATATATATATATATATATATATATATATATATATATATATATCCACTATATATATATATATATATATATATATATATATATATATCCACTATATATATATATATATATATCCACTATATATATATATATATATATATATATATATATATATATATATATATATATATATATATATATATATATATATATATATATATATCCACTATACTGTTATATTACACACACACACACACACACATATATAATATATATATATATATATATATATATATATATATATATATATATATATATATATATATATATATATATATATATATATATATATATATATATATATATATACATTAACATACACAGACACACACAAACACAAACACACACACATTGTTATGCTCAGCTTTCCATTTAATGTTGGAACCAGGCACAACACAAATTAAAAACAGAATCCACAGTTCATTTATAACAGTCAAATATAATCTTGTAACTTCTACAGTGAAACAGTGAACATTGAGACGAAAACCACTGACTACATGCTACCCTAAGTTGACGATACCACACACTGATTACACACTAGAGTTCACACACTTGTCAGGGGAGGCCACTCTCACACCCAATCTCTCCATGCCTACACGCTTTCGTTATGAACATCTAGGCCACGTCACAACATATATATATATATATATATATATATATATATATATATATATATATATATATATATATATATATATATATATATATATATATATATATATATATATATATATATATATATATATATATATATGTATATGTGTGTGTGTATGTAACTACACTAGTTACATCGATGTAACTAGTGTAGTAACATATATATAAAACGGCAGGCGGACACTTGCTACCCCTATTTCCGCCATCTTTATCCCGGTGAAGCAGTACCGCCCTGCATCAGACGGAAGTTAACTAGGTCTGCCCCGAGATTACCCCTGGGGTTTCTGCACCGTTACATGTCTTCTGCACGCCATGCTGTCATGGCGGCACCAACCAGCGGCTTACACAATTCTGCTCCTGCACAGTCCGGGACTGTCTTCCGACGGTGACGGTTTTTCCAATACACGTGATGTTTGGGGTACAGTAGGTTCTTTTTGTTGTTTTTGGAACAGTCTTATATTTGTACGTCTGTTCGTGGTACATTCTCCTAATATTAAAAAAATCCATTAGGCTCAAACTTTTCGCTGCAGTCTCTTTGTGATAAACCAGCAAGGCATATTACACTTTATACACTTTCTAGGTACTTGTTACAGTTTCCCCTTAGTACTGCGTGTCATTTTATACACTAGAGTACACATTAAGAATGATATATTCCAGTGTTCTGTAATGAATTTTTATTGTGTGTCGGTTTTGTAGTGCTACTTATCTTGTTAAGGCCCTAATTCCTGCTCCTAATTTCCATGAATTCGCTTCCATGTTTGTCCATGTCTACAGCTGGTTTCTTCAATTGTTTATGTTTAGAGGCAGTTTATGTTCCCCAATGTGGTATAAATACTGACCTATGAAATATGGATCGAGGACATTGAGTTGTGTGGGTCTGAAGCGCATGGTAGATAAAGTGTGTGATGTTAAGGGCAGTAGAGTGCTAGATTTAGATAACTGACTAGCTGATGCGCTGGACAAAGTGCTGACCACACCTTCCCTTCATACGCCGAGGTCACGAAACATATGAACTCTACTTCATCTGCCCAATGGATCGCTAGGTCCAAAGAGGCTGTAACCAGAGTAGAACACAAAAGCCATACACTTTTAGACTTTGTGACGTCTAACTCCAAAATCCAATTAGGGTAATGAGAAACAGGGACAAATAGACGTGCACTTTATGTTGATTAAAATCATTAATGTAAAAACGGACCAGATACGATGTTTATCATAATTAGGGACAAAAATGAACCTTAATTTTAAATTATTAGGGAGGATATCAACTAAGCATGTTTAATTATAGAAATAGTAAGATACAATTGGCTGATTTTTTTAAAGTTTAATTTTTAAAGATAAATTTTTAAAGATAAATTTTTAAAGATAAATTTTTAAAGAAAATTTTTTAAAGATGAATTTTTAAAGATAAATTAAACAACAAAAACACACAATTTTGATCTGTCAAATTATTGTTTACAAAGCACACACAAATTATCGCAATAATTAACGTGGATGTCTTATGGCAAGATAAGCAGGCCTCAGGCGGAGCATGATCTGTGATTGGCTGTGTCTTCTGGAGAACAGGATCATTACGGGACATACTGACAGATCTTAATGAAATCATTTACATGAGCGGCTTAGTTCTGTTTATCAATGTGTATTTTGTACGTGGGAGTTTTGAGTTTTATGGAGTTTTTGTACATGTCATAGTTGAGTCGTTTTATTCATGCATGTTGACCAAAAATATAACTAGCTAAAGTTCATTTTAGAACGTTCCAGGGGAGGGTTAGTGGATGTTGACGTGATTTAAATTGTACAAAAATGAATTTTTAACCAAGGTCAAAGCGGATAACTGCGGGGGAGTATTTTGTGACGAACGAATCAGATCAAAAACTGACTAATGATGTGGCATGTGTTGAATAGACATTTTTAGACCGATGAGATGACACAGACATATAGAATGTCATGTTTATGTCCGTCCTATAGACTATTTAAAAAATAACTTGTAAAAAATCTTAAAGACTATTTTACAAAATAGTTCTATAGAATATTTTCACAAAATGTCATTAAAACTTCATATAGACTATTTTACAATATGTCATGTAAAAAATCTTATAGGCAATTTTACAAACTGTAATTAAAATGTCCTATAGACTATGTTACAAAATGTCAAGTAAAATGTCCAGTAGACTACCTTTCGAATGAGCAAGGACTATCATACGGAATGTCATTCGCTGGTCTTCAAATGAGTTAAAGAATGCATACATGTCCTACATTATGTCCTAAAATGTCCTACATTTAGTCCTACACATCAACCCGAGCCCACTCACCTGGAAGAAGATGACCACCTTGCACATCGTCTCGCCCAGGTACCAGGTCTCTGTGACCTCCTGCAGCACGGTGGGCGGGGAGCACAGCACTAGCACCACGGCATCGGCGCCCGCCAGGTTGACGATGAACAGGTTGGTGACCGTCTGCATGTGTTTCGATCTCAGGACCACGAAGCAGACGAGGAAGTTGCCGACCACGCCGATGGAGAAGAGCATGAGATGCATGCTGATGAGCAGCCACTCGAGGGGGGTGGGGAAGATGAACTCCTCCACGCACCCCACCAGCTGGGATATGCTGGTGCAGATGTTGACGTGGCAGATGTTCTGGCACGCGATTAGGTCCGACGGGTTGAGGAACGAACCCATCCCGCTCTCGGAGGATTCAGTGTCGTTTCTGTTGATGTCCTCCATATTTGGGTTAGAGTTTGGTTCTGAGTAAAACGACGTCATGTAGGCGTATTTCAATCCGACTGTTTGCGATAATTATAAGATTCCGCACAATCCGGTTTTTCACAGACTTTTGTTTTCTGTATGATATCCACTAAATTACTTTTCGGAACTAATCCGCACTAAAATTTATCCGTATAATGTTTGGGAATTTTAGAGATAATCCAGTCAAATAAAGTTTCTAGACGAGTTGTCCTTACCCATGTTGAAGAAAAAACCTAAGTCCATGCCGAACTCAAATAATCGCAGCGTTATCGCCCCTTAAATTTCGAAGCTCACAGCAAATCGATTTTCTGTTGAAGAAAGAGAGAAAAAAATGGTGAGAACATTGGTGAGAAGGTTAAATCAATCACTCTTCTTTCCCCACTCCGAAATTTCTCGCACTAAAGATAATGACTTCTTTCTTTACGTGATGTAAGGGGTCGGAACAAGAGCTTTAAAGTCAGTTGCGGAGATCTACGGCAGTTGCGGAGATCTAGGACAGTTGCGGAGATCTACGGCTTTACTCTAAAGTATGTTGCGGAGATCCACGGAAATTGCGGAGATCTACGGTATTACAAGTCAGTTGCGGAGATCTACGGCAGTTGTAGAGATCTACGGCAGTTGCGGAGATCTACGGTATTACTTTATAGTCAGTTGCGGAGATACACGACATGGCCTTAAAAGTCAGTTTCTGAAATATATGACATTGCAGAAAGTTAGTTGCGGAAATAAAACGGATTGTTTGAAGTTTGATACATAGATCTACGACATTGCTCAAAGTTTGATGCAGACATCTACGACAGTTTCTTTAAACGTCATTTGCAGATATTTACGTCTGTTTCTGAAATCTATGCCACTGCACAAAGCTAGTTGCTGAGATCTACACCAGAATTGAACTCTTTTCCTGCCGTTCCCTCCAGACTAAATATAAAAAAAAATAAAACTGATATAGAACTTATACTTGATCATACTTAAATATATACTTAATTTATATACTTTAAGTGCTCCCCCACCCCGGAAGTTCCTTATACCACCTCGGAGAAAAATGTCTGAAGGAAGCCCTTACATACAGTCATTCTGACCAAGAGTTGAAGGTTATAATAAAAACCAGTATCAATATTTATACACGAATACTTTTCCTGCTGTCCGGAAATTGCTGAACGGGGCAATTAACTCTGAGCTTAAAAAATTTAACGAGATGATTATGTACGGAGCTAATCAGAGCAGCACTCGTACATGTATTGACTTGGGGTGGGAGAGGTTTGAGAGGGGAGTCGTCTGGCCATTGGTCCGTCTGAAGACGTCGTAATTGGAAACAACGGCCACTCGGCGCATGCGCGAGTCGGAAACCATAGATTTTCGTTACCGTCAACAGCCGACGTCATGACGTCAACCGACAAACCAATTCGGGCGCCAAGAGAGGGGTCAGAGTTCATTTCTTATTGGTGCTGATTCTGTTGGTTTGGTAGATGACCTCCCTTTCCACCCCCCACCCTCCAACTACCACCCCCAGACAGAAAGTAGATAAGTAAAGGAGGGAGGTATGATGGTAGAAATGTGTGTTGTGATGAGTGGGATGGGATAAGAATTATGGGATAGTAATTTGTGGGATAAGCGTCATTTAAGTATGGTGGGATAAGTATAATGGAATAAATGTCTTGGGATGAGTGTAATGCGATACGTGTTGTGGGATAAGTGTTTTGGGATAAGTATTGTGGGATAAGTGTCATGGGTTAAGTTTGTTGGGATTATGTGCTTGGATAAGTCTTTAGATAAGTGTGATAGGATTGATGTGATGGGATATGTGTTGAGTCTTTAGATAAGTGTGTTGGGATTATGTGCTGGGATAAATGTGATTTGTTAAGTGTGATAGGATAGGTTTCAGCTGATAAATTTCATTGGATAAGTTTAATGAAATAAGTGGACAAATGTGAAATGTGTTAAGGAGGTAGGCCAATGAAACACAGGATGAAAATACTGGTCAATTACAAAACTAATTATCATGATTATCTAATTAGCATTGAAACATTTCAGCAACCTGCTATGATTTCTTTGCTTTCGCAGTTTCACAGTAAAATAACAAAATTCCGGGGTGAGACTTGTAAATATAAAGTGTTTGTCGAATCTTATATCAAGAGCATTTCGGAAATTTATGAAATATAAAAATCGATGCCTATTAACTCAGATTGTTCTTGAATGGATATGAAAGCAGATCCAGAAAAAAGCAAGCTAAATTTGGAGTCAACCGGCCGTATTGCGTAGTAATTAATTGTTTTGGAGGAAATCACATTCAATATTACAATAAAAACGACGAAGAACCCTTACAAACACAATACAAATAATGCAAAAACAAGCTTTTAAATTGATTTCTTCGACCTGTTTGCTAACAGGACAAGAAAAGGAGAAAAACATTTCAAGGTGAGACAATGTAACAACTAACAGGACAAGAGAACGACAGTGTAAAAATAACACAAGAAATCAATTCTAACAATAAAAAAAATAATTAAATACGTCATCCACCGATTAAAAAAAAACCTGTACAACTTAATTGTAGGACCAACGATCGGGAAAAACCCAAACCTTTGAAAGTCGTCACCAGAATCAGACACACCTGAAGTAGTAGAAGATGGAAGGACAAGGTCGCACTCTGCGGGTTTACGCTGTTTAGACGTCAGAAATACTAGGACAGTTTCCTGTTTTTACCCTGGTCAAGTTACAGCTAGTGTCCAGTACAAGGGACCTAACCCTAATGTATTCAAACAGTTCAAGGGACTTAACACCAATGTATTCAATAAGTACAGGGGAGTTAACCAAAATGTTTTCGAGATAACCAAAAATGAATTTGATCAGTTCAAGGGACATAATCACAATGATTTCGTTCGATATAAGGGACCTAACTCCAATGTATTCGATCAGTCCAGGAGAGCTAACCCCAGTGTTTTCGATCGGTACAAGGGTCCTAACCCCAATGAATTTGATCGGTACAATCGAGTAAACCTCAATGATCTAGACAAGCACAGGGTATTTAACCACGGCGAATATGCTCAGAACAAGGGACTATAATTCAGACCAGTAAAAGGGACTTAACCACGACATATACGACCAGAACAAGGGACTTAACCACGAAGAATCCAGTTTGGCGAGTGATGGGCCATGTTTGTTGAATTGAGACATGAATATTTACAAACTGTAAATCACTTTGTCACGCTAGACCTTCCGTGTACTCGGCGATTATATCATTGACTCCAGGGGTCAATGATTGCTTGTTTACGGTGCGTCTTTTGTCAAGTATACGTTGCGTCTTTTGTCAAGTATACGTTGCGTCTTTTGTCAAGTATACGTTGCGTCTTTTGTCAAGTATGTCACTTAACTTATGGATTTAGAATATTGTCTTGTATATAGGTCTAGTAACAAAGAGTGTAAAAATGAACCAAGAAATACACACACACACAAAACAACATGTAATGTTTCGTTAAATGTAGTAAACCAACATGATTACTAGAAAAAAAAAACTATTAAACCTTAATCATAAACTTTATCCACGTCTATCTTTAACCCTAAATCTAACGTACACTAATGTTAATGGTAGTGAAAAAGTTCAGGATATCAAGTCATTAGCCAGGCTCAGTGGGCGGGTAGCTGACACATCTAACTTAAACCATCTACACACACTGCCCTTGTTGGCAGAAAAAGATTTTTAGATTATCTCTTGGAAATACTGACAACACAACCCCAAAATAAATACATTAAAGCAAATACCATTACTGAAACAATTACTTTAATTAAGACAGATAACCGATCGTTTTTGTAACACAAGTGTATTTAAAGATCTCAAAACATTTTTTTAGTAAAACATTACACTCTAGTCACTAAAGAAAGTGCTAATCTAGAAAAAATTTTAAAACACATAATTGGAACCGGAACCAAATTCTCAAGCTGCTGTCATTTCACATTGATCTTCGAGAAATTACCACAAGCAAATCTTTACTAGGCTACTCTTCGGACATGTCGGCCAATAGGGCAAATAAAGTAGATTTAGAACCTCTCTTGGTTCTACAAAAATAACCTGTAATGCTAAATGATCTTTTGGTATAGCTATATTAATATTACTAGCCGTTCCGGCCAGGCCCTGCACTGACCTCTGCGAAAAACCTGTAAAGGACCATGCCTGGTGTGTTTATTAAGCAGCATATACCCGGCGTTGCCCGGATTTATGAAATATATTATTTTCCGAATCAACCCTAACAACAACCAATCAAAACCGAAACACAATCACAAAATAAACGCAAACACACACACACACACACACACAATAAAACAAACACAAACGTCAACACAAACAAAAACAAAAACGCAAATACTAATGTAATTACAAAAGCAAACACAAACACAAAAGCAAACACAAACACAAACACAAAAGCAAACACAAACACAACCCGAACACAAACACAAATGCAAACACAAACACAAACGCAAACACAAACGCCAATACTATCGCAAATACAAACGCAAACCTAAACACAGAACATAAATAAACTTTCAAATGCAAACATAAACGCATAGTGCTCACAGTATACCAGGGGCGCCAAATCGAACCCTGACGGGGCGCCGGTGGACGTGCCTGATTCAATTTAGTTAACGACTATAATACCCCCAGTTTGTCTGCAAACTGAAAGATAGAAGATATAGAGGACATTTAGGAGCGTCTTCCAAACTGATTAAAAATAATAATTTGTATAAAATAAATAAAAGGCAGCATTTAAAATATCTATGTTTTACCGACCACATTGCACTTAATCAATCCATGCTAATTATATATTTTTTCTTCTAACACCAAAACAAATAAAAAGCATTTTTTTAAAGGTATGTAATTTATTTTTTTGTGATCTATCAAGGAAAGTAATTGGCAATAAAGGAATAAAGTGAAGTAAGCTGTAGACATTTTGCATTTTTGTGAAGGATGATACATTTTCTTTGACCTTGTTTATTCCACATGACGTTAATTAAAATTATACGTTTAG